AATGAGGTGTCATATGGAAGGAGGCACCTGAATCAAGAATCCACTGATTGTATAGTTCCACACGTTTTGAAGCAGTCAAGGCATCCCCGTCTTCTGCAAAATCAAGACTCTGTACAAGATTTCCTTGGAAATTGTCAGTACTGGAATCCTCACCTCTCTTTGCTCTACAATCCTTCCTCGCATGCCCTGACTTTCCACAGTTCCAGCATCTCATTTTCTTCTTCCCTTTAGACTTGGATCTAGATCGATTTGCGGAACTTCTTTCAACAGGTCTACCACATGCATACGTAGCATCTCCAGGACTAGATTGGCTAGATTTTCGCCTCATCTCCTCAGTTAATAGTGATGCTACAACAGAGTCCATATCAAGAACCTTCACATGGCTTAAACTCATAATCAGGTTATCCCAAGAGTCAGGCATAGAACATAGTAAGATACTTCCTTTCTCTTCATCATCAATTTTAACATCAAGAGACAGAAGCTTACTAGTAAGGGAATTGAATTTATTGAGGTGCTCTTGTACTGACCCTCCATCTTTCATCTTCAAGTTGTAAAGCTGTCACCTTAGAAAAATCTTGTTTACTAGCGACTTGCCTTCATAAATATTCTTAAGCTTTTCCCAAAGCCCTTTTGCAGTTGACTATGTCTCTACATTGAACAGAACATTGTCATCCAGCGCCAGCTGCAAATTGGCCAAGGCCATCTCGTCCTTCTCAAAGAATTGCTTATCCGTCATTCCTTCAGGTTTCTCTTCTCTTGGCAAGAGAGCAACTGCACAACCATCCTTCACGAGCACTGCATGCATCTTCAATTTCCATAGTGCAAAATTTGATCCATCAAAACGTGGAATCTCAAATTTTGTGCCACCACCTTTTCCTGCCATAATGATCAGCACAAACAAAGCCTTCTACAACCACAGCTCTGATACCAAAATGATAAATTAAAAGTGGATCAAGTGTAAAATGGTGTTTATACATATAGCAAGAGAGGAACTAAATGACAGCAAATTGAAGAAACAAAAGTATAATGACTGGAAACTGAAATGACTTCTATTGCTGAATATTGAAAGCAGAACAACTATAACAAGAAAATATGATGAAAAGATGAGAATTTGACACACAGTGCAACTGGTCATTCTCCTTATTTATAGACAACAAAATAACAGAAGTTTGTTGTAACTCTCTACTAAAAACGTGGCTTCATATCAGATAAAAA